CCGAGAAAAGGAAGTTCCAATATTGCTGAATTTATTCATTTGTTTAAAATCACGTTAATATATTTTAACTTTAAAAATTACTGCATAGTTATATTAGTATAATAATAATATTGTCTTTGACAACAGAAAGAAGAATATATATTTTGGAGACTTCAACGCAGGTAAGAACAATAATCATATTAATATTAAAACGCAGTAAATTTAATATAGTTTTTTATCTTTTAATTTTACTATGAAACAATCATCATATTATTTTGAATTACTTTTTTAAAATACTCAACAAATTAATAATACTATAACTCATAAAGGATGTTTATAAATTTAAATTTTATGTATAATATAGATACCTACCTATCGAGACATCGAGTAGATATTATATTTATCTATTTTTACATAAATAATATTTCAGTTGTATGTTCTAAAAATGTGTAACATTTAGCTTACTACCAAAGTAATATACGATACTATAATATAGTATGTAGGTATTTATTTTATGTCGTTATTATAAGTTAGGTATAACACGTTACGTCGTTATACCTATATACGCCGTACATTTAATATTAATTGTATTATAGTTTTATCAGAGACTTTTTACATCAGCGATCTATTCATACTAAAAATAAACTAAATAAAACTTTTATACCTTTATTATGTGCATGTACAGAAATTTCGTTTTAAATCTGCTTGTTTTAGTTTTACATTTATATTTTAAAAAATATAGTAAAATCTGTGTTCTCAATGTCCGTATCGTAATTTCGTCGTTATAGCACGACAATAATTTAAAATAACTGTATTTTAATTATATATACCTATATATATATATTTATAATAATTTACTACAATTAGATACCACTATATATATATATTAAGCGATCAGTCTGCTGGTCAGCGTATCTCTTTAGTCCAGTACTATTCGGTCCATTAAGTAATTAAATAGTAATAAAACGGTGCAATAATGATATATATAATATATATGGTAGCTATATACGCTTAACGTTCGAAAAATGCAGTAAATTATTATAATACTCATGTAGGTAGTTATGTACCTATACTCATATAAAATGTAGTATTTTACGTGTATACTGTATAATATACTATAATAATACTATATAATATGATTCATTCGACGCCGTGTACATCGGTTTATGCGATGAAGTCGACGAGATGATTTCACCGAACTTTCTCCCAACAACTATGTGTCATAGGCATAAATATCGGTTCCAATTACAAAGTGAAATTTGTACAAAGAAAACATCTATCGACAAAGTCGCCATCATGAATAATACCGGCAGACGTTGTGCTCGGGCATAAATACGCAGCTTTGAATAAATGTTAACTCTACTGTATTTAGGTACCTATACGTATATATTATATAGTCCAATATTCAATAGGTAGTAAGATTATCATCGTAAGTATGCAATATAAATTCGATAGATATTATTACTATTTACTTGTTAATATAATATACATAATATATTGCATCGGAAATATTAATTAAGGGTTATTAGGAAATAGTACCAAAATCTAGGTCAACGAAATATATATATATATTAGTATATTATTACGAGGAAGTAAAAACAATGACGGGACAGTCTTTAAATAAGAAAAAGTATGGTAGGTATTCACTATTTAAATGAAAGTAACTGACCGGACTATGTGGGTCACTTGGTTATTGTTGCGTGTGCGTGACACAGGCGATGGTGGTCAAGGTTAAGCGTGGGCCACTTTTCGTCGGCAGTTGCATTCTCAAGATCTCCGACACAACACTGGTTTAATAACATCCATTTTGATCGTTTTGTAGGTTAGTACCTAATTTTCAGAATTAATGTTATGTATACATATAAATATTTAAGTGCACATTCTGTTAAAAATACATTTTTCTCAGTCGTTAGTTTCATTTCATTGTAGATGAGGAATACACGATTTAAAAGTAAAATGGTCGTAAAAATGGTTCTGGAGATGTTATTGTAATATTTCTTTTAATGTAAAGTGTTCATGTAAAATAGTAAAAAGTATATCTAAATTTGAATATTCAATTTAAATTTTAACACGCAAATATTATTACTTTTAAATTGTCACGATTATGAAATCGGGGGGGGGGGGAGGGGGTATAAATTAAACCAAGTATTTTACAGTTTTCGTATATAAATAATACATTTATTAGGGGTAAAAATATCAATTAAACACCCAAAACCCCCATTGGCCACTGTAAATTGTAATTACCTAAACTACAACAATTACAGGCATAATATGTATAGAACTACCTAACACATCCATTTCTAAAAATATTAGTTTTTTCAATTTTTTGTTCATCTTTAATAACTATCAAAATGTAATCCGTTGAATTAGGTTAATTAAAAATGCTATATATATTATATATATAATAGTTTTAACTTATAAACATAGATATACAATGAAAAAAACTGTGTTAATTAGAATTGTGTTTGTTTACACTACGTGAACGGTGTGAACATTTAATCTATTGTCTGAGCGCTCAGCGTAATTTTATTGTATGCCAACATTAATATACATCTTATAAATTATAATAGCAAGTGATTTCGTTCCATTACCATAAAAATTAACACATAGAAATCAAAATGAATTTATAATCCACATCTGCATGGCATACATTTTACATTATATTATTATTATTATTTCGCTACTATATAAGCTCATCCAATGCAGTGCGTGTGAGCATAAAAAAAGTAGATACGTCTATTTTTCCTTTTAAAACAATTGATTTGACACGTTTTTACTTTTTAGATAGGATCACCTACATATCATGTTTACTTTCTAAGCGTCTAGAGTCTAGACAGAACAAGACAATACAATTAAATATATATAATACCTACTCTAAAATATTATCCGATAAAAAAATTATATATACCTACCTACATCAATACCTATGTTTCACGGTCTAATGCTAAAACCGCGACGAAAGTATTTCTTTCTCTTATCGAAGATCGGGACATAACCACGTAAACATAACTTTGATAGGTACCTATATGTATACACTAAAATATAATCGATAAGTAGGTAGAAATTGGCCAAACGAAATTCCTGTGATGTCCTGACCTACACACCCATTAACCTAAGTGGTTGCCGGCCGAGCACTTATTTATTGTTTAAAATTGCTTATAATGGTGATTGGTGGATCGTTATTGCGATCATGTACCTGCAGGGCAATACCAATTGTGTAAAATATAGCTCGTAATATTCATTAGTAATTCGTACAACATTTGTTTATTGTATCGTACAATTTCATAATAACGATCATGATAACTATGTTAATAATTTTTTTTTATGAATTGGGTAAGAATTATTTGCTTGTCTTATTGTTGATTAACTTCGTAAATAAATACTATAGGTATAACTTAATCAACTCATTAATTAATAATACATTTTATTCTAAAACTAAATACACGAAATGTAATTTACTAGGTACTTAACTGCAACTATAATATTATAGTGTTTCTTCGTAAAAAATAAATATATATACCTATACCTACAGGCGTTTTACGACTAAACTAATTTAAATGCAATAATTACAATCAGATTTCCAATTAATGATTATTATATTATATGATCAAATTAATACTTAACATTTATATTAGTATATTACACAAAAATACCTAGGTACATTATTCTATTTACAGTACATTACATTATTATTATTTACTATATATATAGGTACCAAACTACCAACTGGCGATTATTGTTACCTCACTAAATCATTATTGTATTGATAGTTAGTGATAATACTTAATACATTGTAATTAAGTTCTGTAATATTATCTATAATACTAAATTAATAAATTAAGACTACATTTTCTTAAATGCACTATAATACACAATTCAATATTCTTCTTTAATGTATTCTTGTTTTACTTCAACCATATTATTACCTATGCCTAGTATATTTTGATAATTTAAAATATAAAATAATTTTTATATGTATATACTAATCTATATATTATCATGTCAATATATTATTATATTTATCTATATATTTATATATTTGTATATTTATATATAACTATTAGAAGCATGTAACAATTATTGTTTTCAACTATTAAAACAAATTTTAACGGTTTTATAAATTTCGACTTTAATGAAATAAATAAATTGTATACGCATTGTTTATTTATCTAAACCACGTACAAAATTGTTTCAAGATATATTACAATTTGTTAGCTAAGGTATGGGCGCTCACTAAGAACCAAATCATATATTATAGGTTATCATTATTATTTATTATTGTATCAAATCAATATTTATTACCTACGAAGATACGTTATTGATAATAATACATTTCAATGATCAGGGTCATTGACTCTGACGAGTAAAATGTAAGGTTTTTGAACTCTAAAATAACTAATATGACAAGACATATCACTATAGAGTATAGACACTAGAAGAAAGTTGCACAAATAATATACATTGGATAATTATTGTAAAACCGGTTTGCAAATATCGTTTTAGTGTTATTACGTTATTATTATTATATTATTACAATATAAAAATATATAACAACATGCGAAAATAAAGATAACGGTACTATTATTGTAATTTGTAATGATAAACGAATACATATTACGGAAAAACATAATATGATATCATTTAAACAATATTCAAATAGTAAAAATGTAAAATAACCACATTCAACTGAATATAAAAAAAAAATTAATTACAATTTGGTCTTTATGAGTTATAGTTTAAATATAAATCTGTATAATATGGTAAAACAATTATTAACTAACAAAATTTAAGCGTATTATATAATATTAGGTAATATGTAATACTTTGGCTCTCATTTTTGATGCTTTTCATGTTTTAATTTTCCACAAACCTATACCTACCTAACTAAAAAATTAAATATTTGTTGTACAATATATACCTACATTATATTATACTGAACTATAAGTAACGTGTAAACTAGTATAATACTACCGTATTAAAAATGTTATTCTAACAATGTAATTATTTTCACAGATCAAATTATGACCAACAAACAGGCTATAGGATGGGCCTTCCTGTGCCTGATGGGAACCACATTGATGGCGCCTGCCGTATTAACTTACCCACAAGAACATCGTTCTTCTCAAACACCAAGTCAATATGAACCCCAACGTCCCGTCTATCAAGGAAATTACCCGGTGTATCAACCAGAACAAGATGCGAGAAAATTCGTCGAAAAACCGAATGCCAGCAAAAAAGTGGTGTCGTCGACTGGAGTTGTAGAAGATCGCAACGACTTGGAAGATGTACAAACTAATTCTATTTCGGTTAGAAAACAAAACATACCAATGATTGTAAAAAATAAATAAATAAATATAAAATCATTAAATAGTAATGTTTTACATTTTAGCAAGATGCAGCAGGTGGTTTTTCATGGAGCAGTGTATTGGGAATGATTATGCAAATGCTGTTCAATCCAGCAAGCCAGGCAGCAGGACCAAGCAAATCAGACGTTTTAGACGGCGACCAGGTATACAAACTAGATTGATATAATATAATATGGAATATGGATATTGGATAGGATTCACGACACATTGGAATATAATATTATAAAATGAACAGTTATTTTAACGGTTTTAAATTTAAATTTATTGTTTTTAGGCTATCGCTCCGACATCGCCCTGGGCTAATTTGTTATCTGTAGGTCTGAAAATTTTAACCGCGTTTTTGGGAGGTGGCAATGTAGCGGGAGACGGAATTGACAAAGTGGATAACTCTTCGCCAATGCAGGTAATAAAAAATACGAAAATAAACACTATGTATATACACATATTATATAAAACATTTATTATAATGGATGGTTCAATCTTAAAAAAACCAAAAATATTTAAATGCGTTTATTTTATAATCGTTTAATTAAAATATTACGTTAAATACGTCTTAGTGCATAGTTTTGAACCATCTATTAAGTGAAAAAAAACGTATAAATTACATTTGGACCGGGGGTTATATATAGTATATGAGAACTTTACTTAAATACGCCTTCTATAATCTGTCACTGTATTAAATATTAATGTTAAAATACTATTTTGTATAAATATTATAAGCTTCTGAGTATAATGCATAAATTAATTAGGTAAGTCGTTAAATGTATATAGTTTTAAGTAAATTATTCAAAACAACATTCGGCTCCTTAAATGATCTGAACATTACACGTCAAATGTTAAAATTTACTATCTTAATTTATTAGTGGAATTAAAAAAATATGCTTGGTAATTATTGTTGTTTTTACTATGCAATCGGTATCATTTGGTAATACTTTCAATTTTCAAAATTAATTAAAATCAAATTTGAGCTATAGGTAATAATATTTTACTCTTACAAACATTTAAACCAACAGTAAAATATTTGCTTATTTAAATACATCATAATATAGTACATATTGACTTTTATTATTTTGGCTTTTAGAGAAGAAAATCGATAAAGTATACTTATCTGCTTATCTTTTCTATGTAGTTATTTTTAGATTACTTTTTCAAAATGTTACTGTTAACGTTTAGAAATTACCTATATGTAAATAATCAAGACATCTATGTATAATATTTATGTATGTATGTATGTATGTATGTATGTATGTATGTATGTATGTATGTATGTATGTATGTAGTATGTATGTATGTATGTATGTATGCATGTATGTATGTATGTATGTATGTATGTATGTATGTATGTATGTATGTATGTATGTATGTATGTATGTATGTATGTATGTATGTATGTATGTATAAATTATGTATATAGGTATATATTATATTATATATATTATATAAATATACTATACATACTTTAAAATATATATTCACTGATATTTAAAATTGAAATATATAATACGTGAACAATAAATTAATATTCATAATAAAGTATTAATAAGCTTCAAGTCCCCGGTCCTTAGGATCAAAACATGCTTTTCTTCTTTTTATAAATATTTAATGAATTGGTATATGGTGGCACGGTACGTAGGGTGTATTGGCGGCGGTCTTATCTACAGTACTTGGCAGCAGGGATCCCGATCAAGTGGCCACCATGGCCAAACAAGCTGGAGAGGTAAGAAACCCACACACTGCTTTAGCTACCACCCAAACTAACATTTTATATGCAACTGTTTTTATAAGACTTAATTGGTGATTATAATATTTCAAATAAATTCGTGATGTTAACAGTTCATCAATATTGTTGTCAATCTTTTGGATGCTTTGAAGACATCATTCAGTCACAGATCTATGTCAGCTAGATCTTTGGGTAAAAAGGACGCTATGTCCGATGCAGCTGTAGCCAGCTTATCCATGTTCAAAGTAAGAAACTTTACACTTGATACCTAAACCTATATATTGTATATTTATTAATATTTTATTTTGAAATAATAATAATCTTTTTGTTTTTAAATTAGGGATATATGAAAACCATGAATACGGCTAATGATGTTTGCGCTCAGAAGTTTGTATGCGAAGCTAACAAAGAATGTTCAGGTGAAACATCAAGTTCTAGTGCCATATATTGTCAGCTTGGAACGTAAGGAAATAATATTTATTAATACCTTAATTTTTTTTTTATCAAACATAATATTATTATGTATGTGTTCATACATATGTTCGTATGTATTTGATGTATTAGTGGCGTATCCAGGGGGGGCAAGTGGCTATAGCCACCCCCCATTGACCATAGAATTTTATCAAGATTAATAAAAAATAAAGTGTAAATAAAATACGTATTTTATTTTTATACTTAGCCCCCCCTCATACAAAATTCCTGGATACGACACTGTGATGTAGCAATGGTTATAATAAGTTACTGGTTTATAGCTTGATCGTTTCGAAATAATAATTGTATTAAAATTAATTTATAATTATAGATACGCAACAAGTTTCTTGCTACAAAGGACTGGTAATGCACCTTTCGAAGTATATTATGACGCGGGAAGACGTGGACGATCTGGAGATGACTGTCGCCAACTCTACTTGGCTTGTAACGAAGTTTAAATTCCAGTTTCCACCGATCATACAAATTAAATAATAGTTTTTCCACTCAAAAATACCTTATCTTAACAGTTTCATATTCCATATCTAAAGCAGTTCTCCTTTGATTTAAATCCGATTAAAAACAAAGATCTCGTCTCTGAAATTGACCATTTAAACGTACACAATACAGATCCGCATTGGTTTCTTATCAGGATTATTAAGATAATCTTTTATTACATATATATATATACTTTTTTTTTTACCGAGTATTATACTTTATATTTATTCCTATTGTTTGTATAACAATACACTTTGTACCATAGTAGTCTGACCTATTAATTATGTATATTTTTTTTTAATTATTTATACTTTATTTATTTTAATTTATTGTTTTTAATAAATTATTATAGGGATTACTTTTAAATAGAATCTTTAATGTTATTTTGTACTTCCTTATCAAATATCCTCCTTATATTAGTACTGTTATCGAATAATACCTACCTAAGAGATAAGTTCTTACCATTCGGATTTTAATAACTTACAATTTGTAAATTGTAACGAATATTTTACAGTTGAAATTAATTTTATTGGTATTTGAATGATTAAAATTAAAACAAAAACACTATAAATATTATTGTAAAATTCCTATATAGGTAAGCAATAGGATAAACTTGGGTAAGGATAAAAAAATAATCTGTAGGTAGTTATATTATACACATACAGGATGTTTCTGAAATGGATGAGGTAACTAGTATATGCATACTCAGTAGTCAGTGTGATGGCCCAATGGAAATTTTTTTGAATTTTTTTTTCTATTTTCAAAATCTGTGTTTATACAAATTATTTTAGAACATTATCTTAAGTGTAAAAATAAATAGTCAAGTTGTATTTCTTGCAAAATGCTCATACGAATCGAGGTGTTACCTCATTTTCGCGCTTGTCGCGGGTTTTTCACGATCGAATCACAGACTAAAAAAAAAATGGTGTAGTACATCGATTTGTATGAGAACATTACAAGATAAACAGTGTTAAACGTATAGTTGTTGTTTTAGTCGTTATTACTAATACATACTGTATCGCTATTGGAAAACTATTCTTATATTAAAAAGACTTAACTAGGTACTATCAATATTAATTTTGCTACCACACAACTAATTAGGTAGCTAACGCCAACTATTTTGTATTATTAGAATAGAATGCCAGTACCACAGTGTAGCATTTAATGTTTCCTATCTTCTAGTGATGAAGGCGTATATATAGTTATTATTATGGTACTAAACGTGAAGTTCATAGGTAATAACGTTGTTTATGTATAGTTTAATAGTTGTTAGTTAGGGCCGTATTTGAACATTTTGCGCCCCGGGAAACATATTTTTTTAGAACCCAAAAAAGATTTTGAACATTTTTTTTTTGGAAACCTTTGTATTTTAATGAGTTAAGAACAATCAGTGATACAAGCAGAATTTGTCGGTCGGACTTATAGTTTTAAATTGATACACTTTTCAACTTTTGCAGTTCACGAGTTTGCGAATTTCCACCTGTCGGTTTTTTTTTAGATTTTGAGTGGAGCGATTCCCAGTAGTTTTCAAAAGCGCCGTGAAAAACAAGAAAAATTAAGGAAAACGGAAATTTTTACGTAAAATTGATTTAGGTTTTTGGTGTAAATCTAAAACAAATGAATGTATGCAAATGTTTAGACTGAATGTTTATATTAGCATTTTCTTATACACCATAACATTTTCAAAATATTTTGACTTATTTTGAGCTGTTTACGGACATTTTCAGTTTCAAATTTTTTATTCTATAGATATCAATAAAATTTTATTTGATGGATAAAAAAGCATGACAATTTAATACTAGGCTCCTAATATATAGTTTCAAAGACAGATTGAAAATGTTAAAAATTCATAGTCACAATTTTTTTTTATAAGCATTTAAAGTTCGAATTTTCGACAAAATATGTAAAATTCGTATTTAATTATAACATTAGATATTCAATTGATTTCTCATGTAACAATATTCTTATTTTGTTGTAATTCGAAAACGAATAACTGTAGATACATGAACATTTCACTGAATGTTAATTTTATCAATTCTTATACTTGATAACATTTTCAAAATATTTGAATCGTTTTGAGCTGTTTACGGACAATTTCAAATTTCAATTTTTTAGTTTTTTTTCCAAGATTATCAATTAAGTTTAAATTTTTGGGCTAAAAAATGTGAAAATTTAATACAAGGCTCCTGATACATTGTTACAATAGCAGTTGAAAATATTAAAAATACATAGGCACACATTTTTTTATAAGCATTTAAAGTTCGAATTTTAGTGAAATTTATCAAATTGAGAATTTACAAATTATTTTTTTTTATTTTATTTTATTTCATTAACTATATTTAAATATATATATTAACGCCAATGGGCTTTTGCAAAAAAGAGTAACAAAAACAAAAACAAAAACATTACATAGTATGACATAATATATGAATCAGATAAATATTAAAGTAATATATAAGAATGACATTATAATTGTAATAACAAAATATTAATAAATATGTAGCATAGGTACGAACGGTTATAAAATATTTGAGTTGTATATGTGCATCATTCTCAGGAGAGGTGCATTAGCAGCAAAGTTAGACCTACTTGTTGATATATAAAAAGTTTCTTGGGATGAGTATTGAGTGCTGCTAGGAATCTGGATGCTAAGTCTCTCTTTGTCCGTTTGATAATCCCCTTATAAAGCGATAACCATGAGTTTGACGTCTAGATGCAAGTGAATCGAGACATAGAACATCGTTTATAGGTTGATAATCGTGGGGTAGAAAAATATATTTAAACAGTAGCCAGCATAATTCAGAAACCTGTTCTGCACTTTATCAATCCTTAGTGAATCGCAATGGTGTAAGGAGTCCAGACAATAGCTCCATACTCTAATACCGGACGTGCCAATATGAGCAATAAAGCACTGAGAGAAACTTAGAGGAATTGAAACTCGCGGAATTTTTAAGCAAAATTTAGTTCAGCTAAACTGTTGTCTTTATTTATGTGTGGTGAATAAAAATCTGTCAGATTTTTAAAGGATTCAATTTCACTTGTATTTAAAAACTGATTTTTTGAAAAAATAGTCTCAAATCCTATATACATTTATAAATTAGTAAATATTATAATTAGTACTAAATACTACTAAAAGAAAAACCTTTAAAAATTTTTTTGTGTGCAGTAAATCTTTCTTCTAATTGAACAATAAAGAAATCTACATATGGAATGAATATTGTAGTTCGATAATAACGTTCAACGTTTATTTCTGATATTTTATTATTATCCGAATCTGTATAAGGATTTGCACGATTGGTTTGTCTTTTTGTTATTCTTTTCACTAATAGATTTAAGCTGATAACTTTAGCCATTTTCTAAATTACATTATATCGTGTTTAGAAATAGTTTGATAAAAATTAAATATACAATTTGTAAATTGACTTTGATTACCTCTGCCATTAGGAATATATTATCAAATTCGTGTAACTAAGATATACTAGATATAACTATAGATAAGATAACTTAGTTCGTGGTACCAACTATATATATTTTATAGCTTTGATAATTATTACATAACTAACAAATTAAAACCAATTATGCATTACCTTTTTTTTTTCGAAAAAAGCGAATCAAGCAAGAAACTTAAGTAAATGCATAAAAAAAAGTTCATGGGGGGGATATGACACCCTGGATACAAAATAAATAAATTGCAGTTGTGCGCACAACACGGTTTTTATGTTATCGTGGTTTCTATTAGGTATACCTACTTTATATCTGAAACATCACATGTTTACTCAGTTGTTAACACCAAAGTATTACATTTTACCCATTCAAGAATTAATCATAATATGTTCTTTGCAAAGTAACATTGATGCTCGTTCTTTGTATAGTTATCCGAGAATTATCAATTAGCTATGATTTCTTTTAAAGTTTTAATAACATTAACTGTGGCATTATGTATCACAACATTTTGTAGTACAGAAACAACTGTGTCAGGTAAGTATTTACTTAAAGTAAATTTGCAGTAATTATTTGTATTTATATAAAAATATCAAATTGATAGTAGGAATCATAACACTAATAATATATTATAAAAGTGATCAACAAAAGAATAATTTATAAAACTTAATACGACCGGACCTTTATAATTTAAAATTAATGTACCTACCGAATACTTATCAAAAATAAATAGTAATTTTCTTTGTCTAGAATCTAGATAACACTATATCAAAGATAAAATTAATTTAAATTTCATGCGTCTTAATTGTTCATTAAAATGAATTAATCAAACAAAAGTCACAATAATTAAATAATTCAATAATTTAATATTATGAGTTGTAGGTATTAATATTATATTGAAGATACAATTGATAAATTTTCTGAAATTTGGCCATATTCAATATTTTTAGTGGACTATAAACCAACTAGAATGTGAACACATATGATCATAATATATTAGTATTGTCTGTAACCTAACCATAGTTTGTGATACCTACGTATTTATTATTGATTAGACTTTTTTTAAATTCGGAATAGTATATAATAGTAAAACAAATACAATTACGTTACAATTAAATTATAACTATTTTATTTTTTAATACTAAAAATAAAAATTTTAATTGCATTACAATTTTTTTCAAAACAACCAATTTGTAACTTTTATTTTTAGAGAAATTTTGATGCTAAAAACAGTAATTTAACTATTTAAGTCAAGTAGTTGATTCTTTAGCAGTTTTTTAAAATATTAATATTTTTTTGGAGCTAATTACCTAATTCGAAATGTACTAAGTTTTAAAAAAAAAATTTGTTTGGACAATTTTCAAATATGTAAGTCTTAATATACATTTTATAATTTTCTTTACGTTTAAGTATAGTATCAATTATTTATTTTTAATTCGTAAGGTCTTGTGACCCTGTATAATATATTATATAATATTCACTTACAAAGCAAGGCCTTTAGTAGATAGGAAGAAAAAGAACT